CTTGTCATATGTCTTGTTATCACTTAGTTATTTATCTTGCTTAGCATAAGTTGTTGGTGCACATAGGTGAGCCTAGTTGTTGTACGTTTTGTGCTTGACAAATTAACCGCTAGGTTTATTCCGCATTTGTTGAAGCCTAAACTTTAATTATTTTAAAGCGCCTATTCACCCCCCTCCTCTAGGAGACATCCACGATCTTTCAGATTGTCAAAGTCACTAAGAGTGATGTGTCTGAGGCGCAGATTATTCACAGGCTCTCTGAGTTAGTTCCAGGTAACTTTGTGTGGGAACTCACTCGCCTCGAGGATAACACTTATAAGGTTGACTTTCCTACATCAGAGGACTTGGAGCATATGCTGAGTTTTGGGTTATGCAGAGTACCTGGTACGGAGTGCATCCTCGAGTTCCATGAGTGGAAGCGAGTTGAGCCGCAGGGCAAGCCCCTCACTCAGGTTTGGTTGCGTTTCTCAGGGGCTCCTTCCAAGCCTCTTCACGATGCTCGAATTGCTGCTAGCTTGGGGATTCTGGTCGGGAAAACTAAGAAGGTAGATATGGCTTTCACCAGAGCTAATGGAGTGGCCCGCTTGCTAGTGAGTGTCCTCGACATTGAGTTTGTGCCTGACGTGGTCAAGTGGACCTACAGGGGCGAGGTCTTCAACCTTGAGATTGAGTTTGAGGATACATATCTTTTTGCTGAGGCTTTGGCAGGAACGGATGTGGATATGCATGATAATGATGATGGTACGGGTAACACGGATGCACGAGGGGATGATGTTGGGCATGAGTCGGCCAATGGGCCGAGTTCCACCTTGCAGGCGCCGGGATCTGGGGATGTTTCTTCTGTTATGGTACCTATGAGCACTCTGAGATTCGGTTCGTTTGAGCCTGCTTCTGCTCCTCCTAGGCTTTGGAGTGATCGGGTGGAGTCTGCTGATGTGCTAGAGGGCACGCTTCCCCCCTTAGACTTTGCAGTGATTGACGGCTCTCCCGAGAGGGGGGAGGATCGTGGGCAGGTGGCCCCTTCTTCCCCTTCTCCTTCCGATGCTACGCCACGGTTGAGGACCGAGGTGAAGGTGTCGTTGCCGATCAGCGACATGCCGAGGTTGAGAGGGAGACCGGGGCAGGAAGCCTCACTTCTTTCCTCTCCTGCGGTGGTTAGGCTGTCCTCACCTGCGGCGTCTGTTGGCTACGAGGGCCGGCAGTCACCTGCTCCGCCGCAGGGGGCGATCCTGTCGTCGCCGGCTGTCGTGGGCGCCCTACCCTCCGGCTTGACTGCTGGTCTTGGAGAGGAGCGGGGGCAGGTGGCCCCTGTTCTCACCTCCCCACGCCCGCCTATGGGCAGGATGACGACTGAGCTGTCCGCGTCAGGTGGAGAGCGTGGGTAGATGGCCCAGCACTCTCCCCCCACGCGCTCGCCAGGGCCGGCGCCGGCGCCGGGTCCTAGGGCTCCTCTACATCCGCACGGTGGGGGTGGGGCGGGTGGCCTTACCCCTATCAAGGCCACTAGGGAGGAGGTTATAGCTTTTGGAGGTATCCCGGATCCTGTTTCTGAGGGGCAGCGGATGAGCTGTCGCATTCAGGACCAGCTGGATATTGATGACATGCAGTTGAGGTGCGCCAGGCGGGCGGCCAAGCTTCGTGATATTGAGGTCACAACCGGTATGTCAGTCAACACTTCCAATTCCATTCTGCATTTTTCTGATGTTGAGATTATTCATAATGCAAATCAGTTAGGAGTTTCACTAGGTAGTAATGCTAATGAAATCTCGCATTCAGTTAATGGCCTCTTGGGTCTTGAAGCAGGTCGTGCTTTAGATATGATTCGCAAATTAGCTGTTGTTAAACCTATGAACGATTCCGACATTGGTCAATTGGGAGTCAGGGTGTTAGATTGCTTTGTGCAGATATTGCCCCTCCCCTCCCTGAGACCGAGGAGGAGGAAGATTCTTTACCTCTTGGGGATAGGGAACCTATAGAGGATCCTTGCGGTAGACCCAATGACCCCGGTTGTGAGGACCAGGTGGAGGACTCACCCAAGTGGAAATAATCAAACACCTCTTTCTCGAGTGTCCTTTGGCAAAGATTCTTTGGCAATCAGTGAACATAGCCTTCAATATTACTCCTCTGAATAATATTAACACGTTATTTGGGACGTGGTTGGATGGGATTGAGCCCCAAATAGCGAGACACATTCGTGTAGGAGTATGTGCTTTATTATGCGCTATCTGGAATTGCAGAAATGATTTGGTCTTTAACAGAACAACAAATACTCATTTTTTGCAAGTTGTCTTCCGAGCCACTGCGTTGATCCGTATGTGGCCGTTACTCACCCCGACGGAGGTCAGGGAGCGTTTGGTTACTGGATCTATCCGATGGGAGATGGTAGCACGGGATATTTTCAGTCGGTTTGGATGGCGGTCATGTAATAGGATAGGCAATTAGTTTTCCTATCTCTCTTTTGCCAACCGGTTGTGGCTTCTACTTTTGTTCCTTAAGCTCTTTGTGAGCACCTTTTGTTTGAGACTTTAAGATATTTGTTGAACCTTTTTGCTTGCTAATAAAGGTGGCCGTATGCATCACTCTGATGCAGAGGCCGGGGATGTTTTCCTTTTCTAAAAAAGATTGTTTCCTTTCAGGAAAAAATACTGATTGACTATCGTCAGTGCTAACCCAGAACTGAAAACATCTTATTTATTGAGACAAGTTTGTAGAAAGTAGGATATTGTTCATGTGTACTATGGCCGAGCCAAAGATCACTCGGGACCAGGAGGCGCATGCCTGTATAGGTTGGTTCAATTTGATGTGTATTGTCGTGTTGTTAACACCCCTCAAAATGTATTTTCTGCCGTGGTAATTTCAGACATCCATGTAGTTGTCTATTATGTAAATGTGATTAAGGACACTACAAAACTGTACACTCGCTATCAAAAATAGAATATGAGCAGAAGGTTATCACTTCGTGCAAGTTAAGTTACATGTATAAAATATGATTGCTAAGAAGCACGGAAGAATGAATGACAAAGATTCCCGAATGTTAGCAGACTGAACTGTTGGGTGAACTAAGATAAGGAAGACAAATAGATGGTCATTTTCATGTGCGTCAGTATCAAATTTAACGACTTGGTCAGGTGATTAACTGCCTACAAAATATTCTATAACCAACCAAAGGATATTGCTTTTTTCGTAATGCATAGGATCAAGGGCATGTACCGCACATTCACTCATCCCTCCACGTCATCTAAAGATGACAACAAAGAGATGTTGCAATGGTTTATTTCTTGGTATTATATATTTTAGTGATTAAAATTTAACTTAAAAACATGGGACTACGGAATGAACTTCATTAGATTGGACAAAAATGGTCTCTTTTCCATGTAGTACAAAATAGGGATACGTTGATAAATGAAAGAGAAAACAAATTGTTGCTGCTCAGGATCGAGAAAATAGGGATACGTTGATAAATAAAAAGGAGAGAAATGTTGCTGCCCAGGATCGAACTGGAGACCTTCAGTGTGTAAGACTGACGTGATAACCACTACACCACAGCAACTCTTGTTAATCTCTTACTGATTCAACGTATAAGTAAGAACCTATAATTGTTCTCTTCCCGGAAATCACATGCCCCGATCCATGCAGCTTCACCTTCGAAGTATCGCATTTTGTAGGGTTCGGAAAAGATGCTACACACTTGTTCCCTTAAGCTTAAGAGGGACATCGTCAACATTTATACACTAATGCTAGTACTCCCTCCGTTACAAAAATACATGACGTTTAAGCAGCTCAAATGGAGTGCTAGTTGTTAGTAAATTTGTCACATAAGACACGAATGCTATGGCAAGAAAATAAATAGAGTAAGGAAGCTAATAATTAGTTTCAAGATGCAAAACGAGAGCAAACTTATAGCTTCCCTCACATCATACCGAACAATTTAGACACACTTCATTAGAGTTGTATGGTGGGTTGTTAGTTAATTATATGAATAATTATACCAACAGAATAACACAAACTACTACTACTAAAATTGCTCCGAGCCTTCAGACGTATTTCTTGGGCGCCCTTGGATTGCTTGGCAATGATTGCCTGGAAGACTTGAACTGCTTCCACCATTGACATAGCTGAATCTTTCTGAAACACTGCCGAATGGTATTTCGGTTGTTCGAATTTGTTTCAAAACAAGCGCGAACGACTCACGTGCAGAAGGCCGACTCACAGGCTCACAGCAGATACAAAATAGTGACTGTGCATCTCAATAATATAACGTCATCCGGATCTTACAGCTTAGAGCCTCAGATCTGAACAAAATCAAGGCCATGTCGAGTTGCTGTGTACAACTATGAGCTACTCCCTCTGTAAACTAATATAAGAGTGTTTAGATCACTATTTTAGTATTCTAAACGCTCTTATATTAGTTTACAGAGGGAGTATAATACAAGGATTGTACATCCAAGAGGTAAGAAAACTAGTACTACACACAACCTCCCTATAATCGGTGCGACAATCATCTTGTGTACAACCCAGGTTTCATCTGGATTGACTGGCACCCAGTCACTCGCTGTCTGTATGGTGTATCCATGCGTCGGGAATAGAAGAACAACGAGAATTGAAACCGAGCATTCCATAGATTGGAGTGGGCTGTCTGCAAATAGAGAAGGAAAAAAAACACAATTTAGGCCTTACAGTAAAGCAGATAATACAATCAACATTGGCACAGAAATAACAAACTTAAATCAATATAATAGCCAGCAAATATAGATCCCAGAAATATAGTGATGCCAGAAAACAACTTCTGGGACAGTAGCATCCCTGAAAGCAGTCACATTCATGAGGCATTTTCAATATGCTCACTGTGAATTGTGATCCACCTTCCTGGAAAGGTCTCTCCTTAATAGGGATTTGGCGTATCTCTTTGGTAGATCTAGAAATAAAATGAGCTCATATGTTCCCAGCAATACTATCCTGCAGCTCAATCAGTGCACAACTGAACTTGATAACTTACAAACTTATGAGATGTTCCAACTTCTGAATTTGCAAATTCCACGACGTCCTTGGTCAAATGAGGTGCGAATAGATTCCACCATATAGGATACAGAGGGAGATTCCAATAGCTCAATTTCCCGCTCCTGTTATTATGGAATGGTGTAATGCACGGAAGAAAGAATACTATGCAAGTAACACACAAAAAAAGACCAACTGTGCTTACCAGTTCGGCGAGCCGGTCTTCAAAGTTACTCTGGGAACTACTAGCTGGCATAAATACTTTCCTATATGCTTTCCTTAGGCTCCGTACCTAGATGTTACGAAGAATCCATAACAATCTTATGAGAGAAAGATAATTTACTTGAGTGCAAACATCTAGCTAGTAGTGTTTAGGAACTAAAATCCAACCCTCCAGGAGTCCTTAAGAAAATGGTGCAGAAAGTAATGACAGTTCATGCGCTTATGGTGGTAGTTTAGAAAATAACTCCTACACCCTTTGTTTATGAATGCTTGGCACTTTTGACTAAGATTTCTGTGTAGAGAAATACTCCCTCCGTTCCTAAATATAAGCCCTTTTAGAAATTCCAATACAGACTACATACGGAGCAAAACGAGTGAATCTACACTCTAAAATACATCTATATACATCCGTATGTAGTCTGTATTGAAATCTCTAGACAGGCTTATATTTAGAAATGGAGGGAGTACATGATAGTCTCCGCTTCCTAATGCATGTATGGACTAATGACCTATACCACTACTCAGGGCCCCCTGCTTGCATTGCCTCATTGCTCCTGTTTAGGAATATTATTATGGAAGAACATTCTAACTATGTATCTAAATTGTGATTGCTTAGTATGTGTGATCTCGTAAATAATGCCAAGTGTTCAAGAACAGACATACTAGTAATGATGATTTTTCACATCATAATTCTTTGTGACTACTAGCAGAATCTATGACTAGTTTTAAACTTTTAATGGACGAAATTATCAGCTGATGCATGTCACAAAAAAATCCTCCCGTTAACACATTGTAGTTTACTGTGAATTCGCAATAAATGGCATCATATGTCTATGCACTTACCGATATCAGTAAATGGGAGATGAGAAGTGAATAGTACTCCCTCCATTCCATAATGTAGTGCATATAGATTTTTTGAAAAGTCAAAGCTCACAAACTTTGACCAAGTTTGTGGAGAAAAACATTTACATCTAGAATGCCAAACATATATCATTAGATTCATCATAAGATGCAGTTTCATATTTTATATTTTTGATATTGTAGATATACATAGTTTCTCTATAAACTTGGTCAAAGTTTGCAAAGACTTTTTTTAAAATATATACGCACTCAATTATGCAACGGAGGGCGTACTATTCTAGGTACTCACTTCGATTCAAGTAGCAAACGACGAAAGACAAGTACTGCAGGTATGATATCAATAAGGGCTCTAAACTTTAGTGATATAAGCAAACCTCTTGGTCTGAGAAACCGTTGCGCCTGAGACCTTCAAGATTCAGACCACGAAGCTCTGCTCTATCACCTGCAACCATCGTATATCTTGGAACATCTTGTGCAACCTGATTTAAATAGAAATGAATGAATACATAATCTACAGAAAAAATATTCAAAGTTTAAACATTGTGCATTGCTTACAACTTAAAGGTGGTGGTAAGTGGTAACAACAGTTCTAAGGCCGTTTAATTATTAGGGTTGCTCTCTACATAAAGCAGAACAGGTGCATCGATTCCAATTAAGCAATCAGCTAATCAAATATTCCAAAATCCACAGAGCCCCACTTCCACCTCAGCGATTAGGCCCTGCTGGCAGATAGATGAGGTTGTATCACGCTAAATGACATTTGACATGAGTTCCTCCATGCAGAAATAATACTTCATAATTTTGTATGAATCATGCACCTGTGCCTAGAAAAGCAACATCAGGTAAAGTGTACCATGTACACTGATTCTCTGACTTTAGCTCGCATACCTCGTTTCGTATTTACTATTTGCATTATCTATTAGTACAATTTGGCCGTGGGTAATGGAGAGGATTGATCAACAACTAAACCACATGACCTCGATATGAACTCTTTCCATAAGAATTATTCCAATACAAGGGAACACCTAAAGCACATGAATATTTATACTTTGCAGACCAAACATACCACAGAGCCTCCGCCTAGAAATGAGAATGATCCAATGTGACAAAATTGATGGACAACGACAGCCCCAGCAGTATGAGTGCAGTCCTGAAACAATAAAATCTTAACGATGCATAAATGGGCTCTCGACTAAGAAAATGTGGAGGTTATCACAGTAAAATGATTACTCACTTCAACAATAACATGGCCACCAAATAGAGTATTATTAGCAAAGATGTTATTGCTACCAATCTTGCAGTCATGTGCTACATGGCAGGACCCCATTATGAGATTATTGTCACCAATAACCTATAAAAGAATACTTGCTCGTAAAAAGGGAGAAATGAGCTCAGCAAACATATTTGAATCATAGGGAACCTGAATACCGTGCAGTCACAAGATTTAGAAGATCGATGAATAGAGCAGTACTCTCTGATCTCATTGTTGTTACCAATGCGTAGAAAGCATTCATCTCCTGGCTGAACAGGAGGAGAAGGGCATTAATGTTCTGCACAAAGCATAAGATTTCAAGTAACCAAATGAAATGCTTGTCATTCTGAATGTAAGTGTCCGTGTGTCAGCAAAAAAATGATTGACAAACCATGAACACAAAAGTAGTTGTCTTGAATAAGATTGCATGAACGGGAAACGCTGATCAAACACTGCACTATGAGACATCATTACACCAAAGTCAAGCTGCTGCTAACCTTATATTTGAGATCTTGACACTTAACACCAACCACAGCATAGTTCCCAATTACATTGTTTTCCCCAATAATTGTTCGTCCAGGTAGATCTGCACCAAGAATAGCACCACTGCCAGAAACTAAATTCCACAGTATGAATAGGAGTAAAAGTATGTTACTGGCATGTCATAGTTTCAAATATCTTAGAATTTGCAACATGGGCTATCCTGGAACTTCGCAAATTTCAGATTTGAGTACTGCTGGCTATAGTGTAACCGTTGACAATACCTAACTTACTTTTGCTTGTAGTTTATCTTGGAACAAACTTACAGGTTCTTTCTCGTGTCTATTGCTAGCTTAATACCAATATGAATTTTTAAATCAGACAATGCAAGCCTTTATGGATTACCAAAAGAGAGAAGAGCAGGAACAGAAAATAGGGAGAGATGTTATCATACGTGTGAACAACACATCCTTCTCCTAGCTCGGTGTGTCCTGTGACATGACTCCCTGTATGTAACTGACAAGCATCACTGATCCTCGCTGAAGCCCCCACGGTGCAAAATGGGCCTACCGAGACACCCTACAAAATAGTTCAGAGCACATAAAAAACACTGATTTTCTACCATACAATGCCGAACTAGAGAATGCGTGCCAACAGCCTGAAGATCCCAGACAGCAGCATATTTCACAGAGACAGAAAGTGATTATGGAGCACTGCATTCAGAAGGCACAGGTAAACACGAGTGTGGCATGGGCCAGATCCAACAGCCCAGGCACGCCGGCTCCATGGGTGGGGTGGTCGGAGAGTAATACCGAGTAAGTAATGCGTGCACCACTACGAGTATCCAGAAACTCATCCAGCCATCCCCGGAGCAAAAGCTGCGAGAGATGGGAGGGAGCGATCGGTGCGTGTGTGTGCCGTGTGCGTGTATGGAGCGCAGGCGGGAGTCCTCACCTGGCCGATGGCGGCGTCAGGGTGGACGACGGCGGCGGGGTGGATGAAGCTTGTGGACGCATCCCTCGCCGATCCCTCCGAGGCACCTGCAGGCATGGGAAGCAATCCCGCATGAGGGAGGGTGACGCTATGGAGATTAGTTAGGATACGATGAGAAGACGGGGAGAGCGCGCGTACTTGCTTGGAGATGGCGCGAGGCGATGAGGAGACGGGGTGAAAGGAGGCGGCCGGCGGCGCGAGAGGCGGCGGCGGCGGCCATGGAAGGGGAAAGGGGCAGGTGGACCGCTGTGAATGATGTCAGCCAGGGTTACGGGTACCCGCTGCTCCGATGCTGCCTGTGTGCGTCTATCAGCATCAGCATTCCAGCGGTACAGCCGCAGCCGCACCCGCACGCCCGCTGCCAAGACATACGCAGCAGTCCCGTGCCCGATACAGAGAAAATCCAGCTTCAGGTCGCTTTCTTTCTTCCAGGAGAAGAAAGAAGAAAGAAAGGCGATCTCGCCTCCTGCTGCTAGGGCGCCTTCCTCCGCCGTCGTCCTTCGGCGGCTCCCCTCCGCTAACGACCTCGGTGGTGAGGGGGATCGCCGGTTTTACACGTGTGGATTGTTTTAGGCATTAGTTTCTTAGGTTTTTGAGTTGTTCATCGTCATGGCTTCGGCAACGGCGATGACGGCGCCGATTAATATATCTTCAGATCCTTTCCCAACGAGACGACCCGTTTTTGGGGTGGATTTGGAAATCAGATTGTTCAAGTAAGGATGACGCGGCGGCGGCGGCATCTTCGTGGTGAACCTGTGTCCTCAGGCTCCGCCGTTGCGACGGCGTTTGCTCCAACGCCGGCGTGGAGTTTGGGAGGTAGTCCAGGAGCAGATGCAGATTGTGATCTGCATCGACGACATCTGGAAGATGGTGGATCTGGGTTCGTGGTTCGTGGCAGGCAGGTATAGTTTCCTCCTCCAACGTCTTAGTTGGGTGGGGTGCCAGATCTGGAGTTCGATGGCGTGTCCGGTGTGTTGCCCCGGTCTGATTCGTTCAACGGCAATGGCTTCGCCTTTATTGGCGAGCCACCTTGGAGGTCCGCAAAGCTGCATATCAGCGATGGAGCCGCGTCGAGCTCGGGTGTGGAGGTGAACCGTCATTTTCTCCTTTGGTGGCTGCTATGGTGGTGCCAGAGGCAGGTGATGGGCGTTGGTGTCAAGCTCAGAGGGTTCTTCAGTCTTGTTTGTAATTTTACTTCTTGGCTGGTGTTCCTGTGTGCAAAGGCTAGCGTTCTGCTGTCTTTTCAGTTTTGTCAGGTCGGTATGTACGTGGCTTGTACTATGATCTTTATGATATAAATGAGACATGTATTACCATGAAAAAAGCAGTCCCGTGGCCTGCTCTTCGGCAACGCCAGCCGATCTTTGCCGCAATTTATACATACCGTAGTCTTTTTTTTTTGAACTTACACATACCGTAGTTTGCTTAGGTTATGTACACGACCTTGGAGCTCCAGGATCATCTCGACCTTGGAGCGGTGCTATGGCGGAGAAGACAAAGGAGAAAACTACAGGGACTCCGGCGACAAAGGCTACCCCGGTGGCGACAGCGACCCCGGGAAAAACGGCAAGTGGGGGCTCTTCCAAGTCCCATATCACAAGCAAGACATCGGATCCCACTGCGAGCCTCTCGGAGAGACTGGGAGGGATGGTGTTGTTGGATAAGGAAGCGGAAGGCTTCGTCTTCAAGGAACCAGATCAGATCTTGCCCAAAAACGTAAAGTGGTCGGCGGTTGTCGGTGTCAAAACCGGTAGATCTCGGGTAGGGGACCCAAGCTGTACATCTGAGAACCAATGGTAAATATGGACAAAGGACACAGTGTTTACCCAGGTTCGGGCCTTCTTAATGGAGGTAAAACCCTACTTCTGCTTGATTGTATTCGAGGGTATAGAGGTTACAAGAGTTGATCTACCTCGAGATCGATTCGGCTAACTCTGGATTGACTAGCCTAGCAATGTTGTGATCCTGCCTCCGATCTACCCTCCGATTTATATAGACACCTGAGGGGCCTAGGGTTGTACAGAGTCGGTTTTACAGAAAGGAATAATATATCCGGACATCTATACTTGCCATCCACGCATACGGGAGTCCCTTCCGGACACGAGAGATAATCTTTGGTCTTGTATCTTCACGACCCATCAGTCCAACCCACATCCAATAGACCGGACGCCCGAGGACCCTGTAGTCCAGGACTCCCACAGTAACCCCTGAACCAGTCTTCAATGGTGATATATTCAACGTTCAGATTGTCTTCGACATTGCAAGGCGGGTTCCTTGAAGAATACATATCGGCTTTCCTCTGTTAAAGAATTGTATCCGGCTTTTCATAATGAACACAACCCTTCGCCTCGAAGGCATGATATAAAAAATGATAATAGTGTCTTTTACTGACAACTTTTTCGGTGAAGCGTCAGACTTGACCCTTCAACATTTTGAACGTTTTCCACCCCGTGTTTCGTGTTTCGAGGCCACGCCTCATTGGCACGTCCTGTCAAAACAGAGATCGTGCCTACTTAATACGGGATTGCTTATCAATAGCGTTTGGGTGATCCAACCGTTTGTAGCGCACGCCTTCATTGGGAATAGGCGAGATTCAAGGCACGAGTGGGGGCGGTTGGTATTTTTATTGCCTATAAGAGGGCAACGAACCTTTACTTTCTTCCCCATGCCTTCACATCTCCATAGCCTTCCAATCTCCCAAGCTCTCTGCGCCCGCAAAGTCTCCGTCTTTCTCACCACCACCGCACCTCCTCCGACGATGGCCGAAGCTGGCTCCAAAGGCAAGTGGGAGGCCTCCTCCATGACGGAGAGAGAGAGAGAAGATCTCCGGAGTGCGGGGTATCTTGCCCCAAACATCAAGCATAGGCTTCCCCCCGAAGGTCAAGTCATTCTCACTCTAGAGCCCGGCGAACGGGTCGTCTTCCTTCCCCACTTCATTAGAGGGTTAGGTTCTCCACTCCACCCGTTTGTCCGCAGACTCATGTACTACTACGGGATAGATTTCCACGATCTAGCCCCGAACTCCTTCCTCCACATCTCGGTGTTCATCGTCGTGTGTGAGGCCCTCCTATGCGTCCACCCACACTTTGGCCTCTGGCTCAAGGTTTTCAACGTGAAGCCGAAGATGGTTGACGGGCAGCACACGGACTGCGGCGGAGCTATGATTAGCAAGCTGCCGAACACCACATGGCCCAAGGGGGTCTTTGTGGAAACCGTGAAGATCTGGCAACAGGAGTGGTTCTACATCACCAAGCCACGCCGCACTAAGTGGGCGGCCATTCCGGAGTTCAGATCCGGACCCCCCCCTCCATGAGGCTCACCTCCTGGAACGCGAAGGGCCTCGATTGAGGGTCCCAAACGAAGGTGCAAGCGCTGTAAATGCGCATCACCAACGTGCTGGGGAAGAGCGTTGGTCTAACCAACGTGGTTCAGATCATGCTCTTCTGTCGCATTCTTCCCTGCCAGCGCCGGGCTTCCCCCATGTGGGAATTCAAGCCGGAGGAGCCACGGACGCTACAACATTTCCTCGGCGCCACGCACGAGGGAATGTGGAAGCTGCTTTTCAAGGCGCAGAAGAGCAGCTAGCCCATGGAGACCGAAGATGTCGGTCTCAATGCCACGAATCCGGCCTCTCCAGTAAGTGTTCGATATTTCCGAAGATATACCTAATTCACATTTATATATTCGATCTATGCCGAACTCACCAACCCATCCTTTGTTAACAGGGTTGGACCAAGAAGTCGGAGTGGATCAAGAGTCCGGCCCCGCTGCCCAAAGACCCAGTCACTCCTCAGCTGGAGAAGATGCTGGTTCCGGCACCTTATACGCCGCCGGAGAAGAAAGCCAAGAAGAAGAGCAAGGTGCCCAAGGACGGGCCCCGCCGCAAAGGTCCTCCGGAAGCTGTGTCCGGAGAGACCGAGCCCGTCTCCTCCCGCGAGGAAGATGAGGACGAAGAGGAAGAGGAGGAGGAGGAGGAGGAGGAAGAAGAGGAGGTGGAGAGCGACTCCCCCCTCAAGACAAGGAGGGGAAAGAGGACAACCTCCGAGAACATGGAGGGAGCGATGCCGAAGAGGGGGCGGGTGGTCCTCTCGGACAGTTCGGACTCAGAGTCCGAACACAGCCTGAAGAGGGTTCAAAGGAAGAAGCCCCTGGACGAAATGTAAGTATCAAAAACTTACCCGTTCCATTATCGCTTTCATCTGCCTCTGTCATGCCCAATCTGTTTTATGCTTTTCAGCCTTCCGCCCGAGATCCCGATCACCTCTTCTTCGGAGGGGAACTCTCTAGCCCCTGGAGAGGCGGAGAGTGACGACCCATCTCGCCCCCTCTCTCCCCCTGCCATGGAGTATACCGAGGTGTCATCCCAAAGGCCATCTCCTGGCCGGGGAGGGGCGGACGAGACCGTCCAGAAGGCGCCCGAGGACAACACCTTGGACGCCGTAGAGCGGGGCACAACGACCCCCACGACCGCCGAGGGTGGGGGGCTTCAACAGTCCGGGCATTCGCCAAACACCGTCCCGGAGTCCAGTACGGCTCCGGGTTCAGACCAACACCCCCCTTTGAAAGAGCGGGGAGGAGTAGGAGCTCCGTCGGCGGCCTCTGTCAATCCGGAGGCCGCTGACACTCTGCAGGAGGCATTGCAACATGCCTCCATTGTGGAGGAACACCGCACCTTGATGGGTGCGGTTATGGAAAAGGTTCGGTCCACGAAGAGCGGACTGACCGAAGCTTTCAACAGCCTACTGACAGGCTTCGAGGTAAGCGACGTAATATTTTTCAAAAGTTATTTTTGTTGTGTATGTATGTATGAGGTGAATCCCATGTGTAGACAATAGCCCTTGAGACTCTGTCCGGATTAGAACAATCCAAACAGAGAATCACAAACAAGTATATAATGCACTACGTATGTTATTTGACAGGCTTCTATGCTGGCGGCTACTGCTTAAGCCGCAAAAATCGCTGAGCTCAATCGGAAGCTTAGGCTATCCGATGAGGAACTCAACCGCATCAACAAGTGGTTCAACGAAACCCAAGGTATGCGGCATTAGGTCATATCCAAAAGTTGTATTTGTATTAGTCATCTTGTACTGACTAAGATTGTTATGAATATATTCACAGTTGGTGCTTCTGAGGTCAAGTCCCTCAAGAGCGCCCTCGCCGAAGCCAAGAAGGAGGTGGAGGCTAGCAAGGTGGTCGCCGACAAGGCGGCCAAGGAGTTAA